AAAGACTTGCAGTTGTGACAACACAGGCTTGGCACCATAGAGCTGTTCAAATGGAGACATTTCCTTCAATACTCGTGTAGGAAGCCTGTTGATCAGATGAACTGTTGTTTCAACAGCATAAGACCATAATTGCATTGGCAACAAAGCACGAGCTAGCAAGGTTAAGGAAACCTTAATAACATGGCGATACTTACGTCCGACGACCCCATTTTGTTGAGATGTATGAGGGAAAGTTACACGGTGATGAACACCGGCCTGTGACAACTACAAAGAGATACTACGATACTCAATGTCCCAGTTTGTAATGCTTTAATCTCTTTGGCAAACTAAGTTCAAACTATACGTTGAAAGAGTACAACACAGTACCAGTCTTCTCATCACGAACAAGACAATTCCGAGCATGAAACTCAAGATAGACCTGATTACCCTTAGCAAGCTTCGAGACCGAGACAAGATTCTTAGCCATTTTAGGAATAAGTAATAAATTGTTAAGATTTAAAAGACGAGAGCCAGTAGGCAATAAAGACTGACCAACTTTTGATATTGACAACCCCTTACCGTCACCAAGAGTAATCTTACTAGCCCCATGATAATAGATTCCATCATCGAAATCATAGGCTTCAATAGCAACATGAAGTATTGCGCCTGAGTCAACGAACCACTGTCTAGAGTCATCTTTTGCACCCTGAGATCCAGGTCTAGACCCGATAGTAGCACACGCAGTAGCAACCCGTTTATTCCCTTGAAGAACACAGGCACAACTAGAAGCGAAAACGTTAGAGATATATGAACAAACATGAGCTGAATGAGTCATCCACAACCTTGGAGTGAACAATGTTGGCACCAATAGACAATCCATCAAATTGCTCGAAACTTTTTTATTGGATCTCGGCATCAAGAAGTATGGACACAACACCTTCCAAGGAGGCAGACTCATGACTGGTGGTTATGACCATGACAAATGGGCATTATTCAACCGATAGCCCATTCAAGATCGACACAATATGCTCACACTTGGAAATAGGGCTGCCACACGACGCCAATGCATCACAAACTTTCCTGACATGAGAAACATACGCATTGAGTGTGACATGAACTGCAAAAGGTGGAGTCTGACATAGGTTTGAGGGTTGAAATGAAGGTTTTCAAAGTTTTATATTTATTTTAAAAAAATCATTTTTAAGACATATAATTTTAATTTTTTAATTTTAATTAAAAAATGTAAATTTATCAGAGTGACGTGTGTCACTTAACGGGGAAATTAACATCGTTGATGACCTGGGCACCTAAATGAATAAAGTTTATAACATTATGCATCTGGATGAGTCAGAAAATAGTTTAAACACCTATTTGAAAAAACGTATAATTTGGACACTTATTTTAATATTAAGCCTTTTTTTTTTTGCTGGAAATTTGATATTGCTCAAGGGATTAGTTCCACCCAAAGAGCCATAATTGCTGATAACATTTGCACGGAACGCATTGGCTTTGTCTCACCTAATCCGTGGGAAATTTAAGCACCAAAAGATCCTTTGGCTTGGAAAACTTGGACTACCAAAATTAAAAAGGAAATTGACAGCCATGGGTGAGTTTTGCTTATCGTGAGCACCATTCTGGCTATCTCATAAGATATTTGTTACATGAACAAAATAAAATATAGATATTTGTTACTATATTAGGTCAAAAGGGACAAAAATCGACTAGCTCTATGCAAATTAAATGTAAAACCCAATGTGTGCTCATCTGTGATGGCAAATTTCAGTTATTTCATTTAAAAGACTAGTTGAACACTAGTTAATCCATAATCCATCTATTTCTGAATTTGAGGTAATTGTACTCTCAAGTATACAATCAAAGTAATCTTCAATCGACAAAAAGGTTAGTATTGTTGACAGTTGATAAGTAAGATAATGGTTTGTTGAGGTTTCATGGGCTGATAATGGTGATAGATTGGTTGGTCGATCGTAGTTCATCTTTCTTAGCTTGGGAGAATGGTCGTGTTCTGGTAACAGAGATCGAAGATAAGATTTTCATAGGAAGAAAATTTGAGATAAGACTAAAGAGAGGATCTGCTGATCCTTTCTCATAAAGAAAGTCTTGTTATATACTTGATATTAACTATTACAATGATTACCAACAACCAGTTAGTCTAGTGGGATGAGACAATAGGTCCCTTAAGAAAGGTCAGGGGTTAGAATCCTGACATTTGCGAATGGAGCAAACTGGGTTGGCATGATCGCCCTCGCCTCTGCAATATCCGATCTAGATTAGTCGGTCAATAGATCGGATACCAGTGATTAATTAAAAAAAACTATTACGATGATTAACAATAGTTGAAAATGTGACATAATCGAAGATATACTTTAAATCGTATTAGTGGTTAAAGGAATCGTTGTTGTTCCTAGAGGTCACGAGATTGAACACCAACGACCGCAACAGGGTGATTGAGCGTTCATTCTCAAATGATTGAGAATATTAATTTAAAATGGATACTACTTTTTAATCACTTTAACTTAATAAAAAAAATTACCTTTGAAACAAAGAAACTTCAAGTCATTCACTTTGTAATCATCTCAAAGTATCAAGTTTCCCCATTTGAATAAACATAAGAAATATAAGACATGAGGTTCTTTCTACATAAAAGAATACTCTTCCAAAAGTATTTATAGATTTAATATTCTCTTCTAATTAATTATTAAAACAATATACTTTTGTTGACAACCAGACATGTCATATAGGTAAAAATACAATTTATCATTAAATTTTTAATTGTTTGTAACCGTAGGATAATAAAGGTATTAAAGTCAATAACTTTTATTATTTCAAGCTACTTAGATTGATTATCATTAAATTAACAAAGGTGGGTGGTTTAATCCATTTGATTAACAATTGAAATTTAATTAATTAAACAAATATGTGTTTCAATAAGAAGTGAGTAAAAATGTTAGGTTGCGCTACTCAAATGATCCTCCGATTATATGATGTTGTTTTGTTGTGTTCCTGACTATTATAAATTACAAAATGATCATTTGATTATAAGGAATTACTTTGTTGAGTCTCCCGATTATGAAAAGTTATAAAATGATCACATACTATTCATATGTTACAAATTTGTTATTTTTGTTAAAAAAATTGACTGCATTCTGAGCTGGACGTTAACCTGCTGGCTGTGATATGATAAAATATTATCACAAATTCTCAAATAACTATCTTATCTCAGTTAACATGTTAATGTCCAATTAGGTTGTCATCAATTTTTTAATAAAAAGGATGACTTTGGAACATATAAATAGTCGAATAAATGTTTTGTAACTTTTAATAGTAAAGTGACTCAACAAAGCAATGACCTATCACCTGAGAATCATGTATGACTTTTAATAATTGAGGCACTCAACAAAGTAGCATCATATATTTAATGGATCATTTATTTACTTTACCAAAAAATTTAAAACCGATGGATTTTAATTCAACCCGATTTTTATTAAAAACTGATTAATTTTTTCGTAGCTTGGATTTTTTTTGTGGTACAAAGCGACCCATCGAAAATCAAATTCGTTTTCGCTTAACTTTTATTATTTCCTTAGAAAAATTCATTTCTTTTCTTTCTTTCTTTTATTTCTTCTTTGTATGGAATTTTGGGGCTTTGACGCTATATATATATTAGGAATTTTAGTTTTATATTATTAGAATATATTATTTAATTATTAAAAATATAAAATTATTATAATCTATATTATTTTAATTATTTTAAAACATTAATATATTCATATTCGAGTTAGGGTTTTATCTAAAAGTCGAGACTGGTTCAGAATGGAAAAAAACCTAAAATTCATTGGAGTTGAGTAGAGACAAATAGAAGATACATATTTTTGGGTCGGGGTTGGGGCGACAAAAAAATCGACCCGCCCCACCCCTTGCCCATCACTAATAGTTTGAAGATATAATGAAAATTTTAAGAGCTTAATTAAATTAAAAAAATGAGACAACTAATGGAAAATTTACAAAAAGTTAAATTAAAATTTTAAAAATAATTTAAAAGTATAATGTAATTTTTTCAAACTTTTAGGGTTCTACTAACTTTTATTATTATCATCCCCTTCATATTGCTACATGTACAATTATACATTAAACCACATGATGTCAGTGTATTGATTTTATATAGGATTTATGTTTTTAAGAACTTTAACACACGTAACAAAATATATTTATTTAATTAAATATTTTTAAAAATATATATATTTGTTTGCTTCTAGAGAGATTTCGTCAATTGTTTAATTACGCATGTTATGCATGGTGGTTAGATTTATATATTGGATAGTTTTGGTTATTAAATTAATTTAATATTTTTCATATTAAATTTATTATTTTTATAATTCTAAATTAAATTAATTATTTTTCATATTTATATTTCTAAAAATTAATATAAAATTATAAGTATAAAATATTGAATTTAATTTAAATATATAAAAATAATAAATTTATTTTAAATTTTAAACCTTGTATAAATACGATTTATAATAAATATAATCATATAATTATAAAAATCTTATATTTATTTAATTGATTAGGTGATCTTATATTTTATAATTGGTATAGGTTCGAATCCTCATTCGAATGATTTTATTTCTTTAGTTTTCTATCATTGACAATATTATAAAATAAGTAGAGTTTGTTGCAATACTTAATTAAATGAAACATTTGGTCTAGCTTGGGAATACTTTGTCTAGCGAAGTGACATTAGTTCAAACCTCCCTAAATGTGCACTTATCTTTATTTTTTTTATAAATTTTAATTTATTTAATCAAATGGTGACACGTATAATCTCATGACAGGATGATTAATTTATTAAATAAAATTAAAATTAGGACCAAAATGATTGAATGAACAAATATTAAGAATTAAATATATAATTATATCAATTTTGTTAACTACCACGTAATCACTTACAAAGAGTAAGAGCTTGAGCATCTATATGTAAAAGATATTCCAACAATCATAATTTTTATGAACAAAACAATCTATCTTCCAACTATAGTTGTGACCGTGACATGATTCGAGGACACTTGTTGACCATCCAGAACATTTTCCTCTTCCACGGCAGTCCTCAAGGAAGTATAGGTGGGTTTCGTCGGCATCGGGAGCGTTGCAGTTTCGCTCTCGAGAAATACCACGACGGTCTCCATTTTCGGTCTACGCGCCGGCGAATCTTGCACGCACAGCATCGCTGGATGAATGCATTTCAACACTTCATTCGGCGAGCATGAATCCCGAATGCAAGGATCCACCAAATCCATTATTTTATCTTCACTCCAAAGTTGCCATGCCTGTAACCAGTTTCCAATCAAGTCCACCTGATTAGTATATATTTCAGCTTCAGCAGCAGATGATCAAGTGATGCATTTTTCTTGTACTTACATATGTGAGAAGACTAGTGTGGTCAAATGAGCGGAAGCTATTGTTCCTTTGGCCACTAACAATCTCCAGCAATAATACCCCGAAACTGTAAGCATCGGATTTCACCGAAAATAGGCCTTCCATTGCATATTCAGGCGACATGTATCCACTGCAAATTTTAAGGAAAGAGGCGATTAGATCTTTCGAAAGCTATTGACATTTGTTTAAGAGTTGAGTGTTCTGTTTTCTTACTATGTACCGACTACTCGAACTGTTTTCGCTTCATTTTGGTTACCGCCGAACATTCTGGCCATACCGAAGTCTGAAATCTTTGGATTCATTTCTGCATCCAACAAAATGTTGCTGGCCTTTAAGTCTCTATGGATGATTCTGTGCCTTGAATCTCGATGGAGATAAAGAAGTCCTCTCGCGATGCCTTCAATGATGCCGAGGCGGGTTCTCCAGTCTAGCTCTGCTTTCTTGGCCTCATCTGCCATAAAATTTTATCAGGTTTCAACTGTCACTACAATAAAACAGCTACAACTAGAAGGAACATACCAAAAAGAAGTCTGTCTAAACTTTTATTGGGCATGTACTCATAAATCAGCAGCTTTTCGTCCCCATGAATGCAGCAGCCCAATAGTCTAACAAGATTTCTATGCTGCAGTTTGGCAATCAGTATAATCTCAGTTTTGAACTCCTCTAAGCCTTGGCCAGACTGCACTGAAAGCCTCTTTACCGCTATTTGTTCACCACTAGGAAGCTCTCCCTGGTGATAAATCATAGACAGAAATTGTCATTACCTTTGATTCCGTTCAATAACATTACTAAACTAATGAGACTCACCTTGTAAACGGTGCCAAAACCGCCCTGCCCGAGCCTGTTTTCGTCGCAAAAGTTCTTTGTTGCAGTAGCAATATAACTAAAATCAAAATTTTGCAGTTCTGGACCATTGACTTGACTCCCATCTATAAGGATATCAGTTGGTACGAAAAAATCTGTCGAGAATTCTTTGCTTTTGATCTTGGACACATCAGAAACCGCTACATCATCGTCCATGCAACAAGGCCTTGATGAAACTGCAGACAGACACGGAAAATAAATACCCTCTTTCTGTTTCATTTCTTACATTCATTCGGGGGAGAAACAATCTCACCTTTTAGTTTCTTCTTGTATCTGCATAGGAGCCATAGAGATGCCGCTAAGCAGCCCGCCAGCACCAGAGAAATTATAACTATCATAAGATTGGAAATCTTCCTCCCAGGATCTACATTCGAAGTGACAACCGAAAGGTATTGGTATATGTTTTACAAGATGTCTTATATGTCCATTGTTTAAAGATCTTGTAGAGGATTCAAATTTGCTTCATTTATAGACAGCTAATAAATACAGCAAAATCAATGTTAAAATGAGTGTATGGTCTGAGTCATATTGGTTAACATGAGTGCAGATCATTAGATGCCTAATTTAAAGCACCAATATTCCCAGAATTATGACCGCATAACTAATATAGTTACAGGAAATTTGTTCACAAAGCTTCTATTGGACCATTGCTTACCTAATTCAGAATGATGGAGGCGGTAGAAGAACTCCAGGCTTCCAGCATCTTGAAAATGCTGCATATCGACCAAGTCCCCTGTCCATATCATGCATCCAATCCCAATAATAAACGCATACGCAATACACGAACAATTTTCCGAGCAGTTTTGTTTACAATTGTGTGGGTTCAATGCCGCCGGATACAAGTTGGCTAAATCCGGTAACTTTGTGCTCTTGATTTTCAGAAATCCATCTGGTTTACCATCTCCTACTGCACCATTAGTACTCAGGCACTGCAGTTCGAGCTTACGTACACACCCTCCGGACCAGTTGCTTGCATCCCACTGAGCTTGAGACTTTGGTCTAAACCCTTTTAAACAAATGCACTTTCGAGATCGGTCACAGGTTGAATAATTCCCACAAAGATTGTAAAGCTCGCATTGGTTATCAGGATCAGGCTCTGTGTGCAGATAGTCCCATTTCTTTTCACTAGCATTCCACCTTGACTGCTTTTCCCAACCCTCCCAGCTTATCTGAAATCGAAACAAAGACGGTTTCGGGTGTTTCAGCGGAGTGTAAGTAATGTACATGGTTCCGTTTTCATCGGGCCGCGAAATGTCAAAACCATGGAGGTAATTAGCCTTATCTCTCATAAAGGGGAGGCCTGTGAAAAACTGCAGATTCCACTGCCCACTTCTCCATCTCCTCTGGTTGTTATTATCCCATAGTACTATCTGCTGTCCTCCATTAGGATCAACGCACAAGCTGTAGTTTCCCGGTGAAGGATCACCGGGTGATTTCCACGATCTGAAATGACGGCACTCACCTCTTTTACAACTGACCGGAACTCTCATTCCAGGCAAAAATGTATCGGTCGGCTCGTTGAAGCTCTCCCATAGGGTACTACCACCGTCATCTCCTGATAGCATAAAATTTCCGTCATTCGACAATTTTGCTGCAGTGTTGTTTGATGAACGAGAAACATTAGATGACCATACTACACCGTCATTTCTGTCGTGGACGACTAATTTACCGTCGTCTTCGATCCTCAAGACTCCATTTCTGCCTAATATTGGCTTATCTCTATTGGCAACCCAAACAACTGCTTCCGAATCAAACTCGTACCATATCCCGAGATATCTAAAACTGGAGTTTCCAGGACTGAAAAATCCCAGTTCAAAAACGTTATTCTCAGATACCAAGGTTTCGCCATCTCTTAATGCTTCACCTTGCCTGATTTTATCATTAGCCGCATGGCAAAACTGAGCAAAAGAGTAGAGCAGAAAAATCAATGAAACCAGAGAGACAAAAACTGGGTTTTTATTACAAGTTTCCATATCACAGACTCCAAGAAATCCAGAGATTAAGAAATGGAAAATGGTTAAGGATTCAAAGGGTAGCCTTTGTGGGTTGTAAATGAAGACAGGAACACAATTTAGAGTTGAATGCCCAGTAGAAAACCAAGCGAAGAACTTAAAGAAACTTCATAAATGTCACTGTCACTCTTTAAAGCGCGGGAATCTAGCTTGGTTCTTAAATTTTGACCAGAGTAGAGCATTAAAAAGGGACAAATCAGACTAAAAATGTTCTTCACATTGAAGAACTGAATTCCTGTAGAAATGGTGATGATTTCGGGTTGAGATGTAAGTTTAAAGTCGAGAAATTGAACATTCTTAATTTCACATTACAAATTTGTCGAGCGAGAATGACACACCACCTTGGAGTTATTAGCTATTTCTATTTTTCTTTAAAAAAAACAACACTAACCCCTAAATTTGATTAATTAAATTAACTATTTATTCATGCTTGCAATGAATAATAATGGATTACAATTATAAATATTTTTTAAATTCTAATATTATTATAAGCTGATATTTATATTTCATTTTAAGTATATGTAGACACTTAGGTACATTTAAATATAAAATTGTTCAAACTCAAATCATTTAGAAATATATATATTGTCTTTAGCATTAAAATAAACTAAAAATAAATAAATAAATAAATAAATAATCATTAAATTATGTTTGTATAGTTATTTTAATTATTAAATTTTTTAAAATTATAAATTAATCATTAAATTTATAAAATTATTATAAAACAATCATTGTAATATTATAATAATTATAAAATATTAAAATATTTATTTTTATTTAAATACTTAATATAATTCTAATGTTGGATAAAATTTTATGGGAATATGATTTAGTGAATATTGAGCAATAATAATAATAATAATAATAATAATAATAATAACAGAATTTGTGGAACTTTGAATCAACTCAGACTTTGGGTTTTTCCGAAATTATTTTTTTAATTGAAGCAACTAATTTTATTTAAAATTGGAAAATTCTCAAATTACAATAAAGATTTGTGATTGGGCTTTTAATTAAATAAATTATATGTTTACTAAATATATGTCAAATATAGTAACTTTTTTAAAATAATCTGTATGTTTAATAAATATACGTTTATATATATATATATATATATATATATATATATATATATATATATATATATATACTAGGGCTGGCCATTCGATTGGATCAAGTCGAGTCCAACAATTTCGAGTTATTCGAGTCGACGAGTCGTATTTTACAACTCAAACTTAACTTGAAATTTTTTCGAGTCGAGTCGAGTTATTCGAGTTTCTATACTAATTTTATTATAATTTTTATAGTATTATGTCAATGATTTGTTCCAATTTTTTAACTTTATCTAACCATATAATATATATATATATATATATATATATATATATATATATATATATATATTCTTTCATATTATAATGTTATTTAATATATCAAATACAATCTAAAATTATGAAAAATATTCATAATATTATATTTTAAAGAAAGTATTTTGAGGGTATAATATTGATGAGAGTATAAATAAGTTAAGGAATTGATGAGAACAAAGAGGAATTGAAAGTACACATGGATTCTACTATGGTTTAGGAGCATGTGACTAAAATTTAGTAAAAAATCATGTTTAAAATAAATGATGAATTGAAGAAATAATAAGATTATGAAAAATTGAAGGACTAAATTGAAAAATAAAAATTTGTTATCAAAAAGAGTAATTGAAAGTAAACATGTATTCTACTATGGTTAAGAGCATGTGGTTCAAATTTGGTAAAAAAATGGACTTAAAATAAAGGAAGAATTGAAGAAATAATGAAATCATGGACTAAATCGTAAAACTGTCAAAAATAATTAATCAAAATTTTGATTTTTCGAGTAACTCGAAAAATTCAAAATTTCAACTCGACTCGAACTCGAAAACCAAATTTATAATTCGAATAACTCGAATAACACTTTGTGGTCCAGAAAAATAATTAGTAAAGTATATGAATGGTATTTTTGCCTCTTAATTTTTTAATGACTAAAGTATATAAATGGTCTTCCCACCTTCGACTATAGAATATTGTTTTATTGAGTCCCTAAATTAATTAAAAGTTATAAAATGATCACCTAACTATTTATGTAACACCCCTAACTCGTCCCAGACCCGGATACGAATCCGAGGTGTCACATTAACTTTTCAAAACATATGTAATTAACAAATAAGAACAATTTAAAATTTTTGATCAAGATAAAAAGGTATCAACCTTAACTTAAATAAGATAAACATTTCACATTCATATTTACATAAAAGCTTTGATAGTTTACATAAATACAAAATATATGAGTTTACAAAATCGATCAGAGCCTTTCAAATTAAACGTATAATACATGACAACAGTTTACAAAAATAACAAAAAAATCCACATTTAATTTGTACTGATCTGATCTTCAAGTGGTATGCTATCCTCCACCAATCAATCTTCAGTTTTCTTCAAACCTACGCGTGAGGAAATCGCACGCTAAGTCGATGACTTAGTGAGGCAATTACTAGAGTACTAACTTAGTAAATGAAATCTTATTTATTTTTATCAAAACATTTTATAAAGAACTCTCATTACTTTCCATATCGAAAAGGTATACTTATGTATATTATTCACTTTGTATAGCTTTGATTCAAATGCCCAATGTATACTATTGAGAACTCTAGGTATTTGAGTACATTGAGGTTGTGCACTAATATTGTCACCACAGCTCGTAATTTGCACCGAAGTGTCACATAATTGTCCCGAATGACCACATAGGTTTGCACCAAAGTGCCACATAGGTTTGCACCGAAGTGCCACATAGGTTTGCATCGAAGTGCCACATATTTGTCCCGAAGTACCACATAATTATCCCGGAGGACCACATAAAACCCTCGACTCTTAGCATACCAACTATACCTCTAATCCTCATACATATACCTTGGGCTATTAATCATATAATTATTTTCACTTATTATTCGAAGTGTCTCTTATTCACACAGATACTTTCACATAGAGTCTTTTCACATACACTTGTTCAAAGTCACATTTCCATAATCATATAATCATAAAACATAACTTATATAATATAAATTAAATAAAACATTACAATGTAACATAAAGGAAATTGTAAAGTTTTCGATTGAAAATAATGAGGTTGGCTTATTTCAAGCCTTCACCAATTTTTGTTACAAAACTGAGAAGTTGCACTCACCTTTGCCTCACTGAAGTCCTAAGCGATATCCTTAACACTTTGGAATCGGTACTTAATAAGTTGAGCTGACCGGAAGTTGATTACGTTCAATCACTACACAAAACAATCGAAAATCAATATCGTTATTCGAATTGCTTATATCCAATCAGAATAACTTATGATGAAAGAAACCCTAACTTTTCGTTCATACGTAGAAGTATCAGTACTGCCTTTACAGTACTGATATTTCCCTTCAAGGGTATCGATACCTCCTTAAGGTACCGATACCATTATGACATTCTGGAATTGCATCTTAAAAATGGTATCGATACCATCCCCTGGTATCGATACTACCAACTCTGTATCGATACCCCTCTTCAACTGGTATCGATACTACCCTTAAGAAATACACAGATTTAACCCTTGAAGTATCAGTATTGTTCTAACGGTACCGATACTCGAAGCCCAAAATGGCTATTTTCACTTCAAAAATAAACCAAAAATCCTCCTAAATCTCTTATATTCATCACACCTTAAGCCTTTAAACTCACCATTACACTTCCAAACCAACTTGTCCTTATATACTACTCCCTAACATACAAAATCTCACTAAAACACTTACATCTAAAAATCAGACCATGTTTTCAACCAAGCTCTTAATTATTTCTAATACTCCTAACCCTTTAGTTAGCTCATTAACAAGTCAAATATCTCAATAAAACTTCAAAAACTACTCCATATCAAAATTTCATTTCTAAACCCATTTTACAAATTCATCTCTAATTTACTCCCCTTGTTGTTTTACTACTATACAAGCTTTCCTTAACCTTATATAAAACTTAAACTTCAAAACTAATCCCAAAATTTAAGCAAAACAACAAATTTCATACTCTTACTTTTGGGAGTGGAGTTCACGGCAAAGGAAGAAGTCAAGCAAGGTTTCCAGACTTTTCTCCCCACATACACGTGCTTATCCCTTAAAAGAAACATAAGATAAAATCTTTTATGGAGAAAAGACCATATTGCCCCTCTTATAATCTAAATTTGATATCATATCATAACCAAAACTTTCCACAATAAATCCTTGAATTTATAAATTATTCTAATTAAACCACTAAGTATTTAGTTCTTACATATTGTCCACTAACCCGTTGAATGGGGATGTTACAATTTATATGTTTCAAACTTGTCTTTTTCTGTTAAAAAATTTATGGTTGTCTGAGTTGGATATTAACTCGCTGACTGAGATATGATAAAATCATATTTTAATGATGTTTACTGTGTCATAACCCCCATTTTGAAATAAAAATTATAAATTTATTTAATTAATTTAAGGACCAAATTACAAGTTTTCAAAACTTGTAGGCCATTTTAGAAAGTTGAAGAAAATTCAGGGACTTAGTCAAAGATAAAAAAGATATGGATTTGATGCAATGGAGATTCGAACATCTGACACTCAATATGGTCGCCTACGCCTTAACCATTTAGACTAGGGTACTATTGTTGATTTTTATGAGTAAATATATTATCTAAAGCTTAACCCACTCATACCCCAAAATCTCCAAATTCAACCCCCAAATCCCTCACTCCCCCCCGCCAGCCCTCTCTATCCCGAATTTCCCATCATCCGACCACCATTACCATCGTTGCCACCTCCATCTAACTCGTCCCTTTCCAGCGACCAAAAGCCCCTTACCCCCTCACCGAAATTGGTCGCCAATCGAAGTGTAGAAACTGTCAAAGATTTATCATCACAAACCCTAAATTAAACTGATATTTCCTTAATTCAGGCCAGTTGAGACACCTTTTTTCCACA